TTTCTTCTCAGTAAGTCTGCTGTCCTCTTCTTCTTCCTCCTCCTCCTGATGTCTTCAAGGCAGGCTTGAGTTCAGTATCTTTCTAATAGCTTTTTATGCTTTTTTTTTCTCGGATCTCTACCCATGTGATCAAATAGTGTTGCTGGTGAAAGTGTGTTTGGTAATTTACTTTTAAATACTAGTGGTTACTGAGAGACCTCAAAAGATAAAGCCAGCACTTCAAGAGTTAATATGTTATTAGGAGGACAGGAAATCTGGCAACTATTGCAGAAACTAGACCTAATGGTGCGCACAAACAATTTGTCAGTCTTGGTAAATGTGAATAGCTTTCCGCAAAGTGGCTGCTTTTGCTTTGTTTGAACAGCCTAAACTTTTCCTTTTTGGACTTTAAATCTTAGAAGTGAAATGTGATCCACATATTGAATCAAAATAATTTAATTCAAAACATATTTTGATTGGAACAAGGTTGACATGGAAAGAAACTCTAGAATAAAAAAAAAAGTTGAAAGGACTTTCTATCATATATTTAGCAGGAAAATTTGAAACAGTTCTAATTAGGCTGAAAAAACCAGCCTTCTTCATTGTAACTTAACAAAGGTCATATATCAATGTTAAGGCAGCATTACCAACTTGTGTCTGAAAGCCTGCACATGCAAACATAATTCCAGTTGTTTGGTTTTGGGTTGTTTTTTTTTTTAAATATAAGTGCACACACATAGTTCCAAGCCAGAATACGTACTTAAAGTTGTGTGGGTGCTTTGTCGTGTTCAAGAAGAGAATTTTTCACGTCAAAATTGTGTTTGTGCTAAAATTGTGAAATCCTAATTCATGCTTTTCTGTTCATATGTAAATATTTTTCATATGGAACATAAAAAAAGAGACTCAATTATTTTAAGTGTTTCAAAGGAAATGTCTTACTTCAAAGATGAATTAAAATATTTAGCCCATTAAAGGTAATAGGCAATTATTTGTACTTGAGATTTGTAATTTCTTACTTGCCGATGTAGTATATTCCTGGGGTTTTTGGCTTGGTGTTTGGGTTGTTGTGGTTTTTTTTTTTAATTGAATAAATAGGAAAGATTATTCATGTATGAGAAGCAGTTTTGGTTTCTCATTAAAGTTTCTACTTTCACTTTAACTATATAAAACACATTTTATATAGGTGGGACTTCTTTTCTCTCTTTCAAATAAGAGTTACATGCATGCTTTACGCTTTGCTTCAAGATTACCTTGCTTTCGTCAGCATAGGAATAAGGCAAGGAAGTCTGTGGTCTATTTTTTAACGGCTTCATTATGAATAAATATCTGTGCTGGTGAAAAGAAATACAGTTATCTTTTCATCTAATTTTGGCATTGGAACATCCTAATCTCAAGCACAGTATATATTCATTTTTAATAGACATCATTTCATATGCTATATGTCATTACATAATCTAAACCAGAAAGAAAAGTAGAGGGCAAAAGCCAATAATAGTCTCTTTAAAGATAAAAATCTTGATTCCAAGGGTCTAATACTGTTGGGAAAATATATCATAATAAATGGGTAGTTATACTGGGAAAAGGCAAAATCTTTCCTAACCTGCTAGTTTTATGTTTTTGTCGTTCTGACCATTTTTTACCAAATAATTTGTATCAGGATTAGACTGATACTAGTCTTCAGTTGCTGGCAGGAAATTATTCTCCGTTCATTCCTTTCAGAAAACAGGGCAGAAAAAGATGTGCATAAAATAATGGATTTCAGAGTCGTTCATGAAGAAGTAGTTTTGATTGCACATATTTAGTGACATCAGAGTATGCATTTGAAAAATATTTATGAATAAACTAAAATTTCCTTGTAAGATCAACACTTCAATTTGTTGATGTGTCTGAAGTGTTTCTACCTTGGGAATGGAGAAATGAAAGTTACTAATAGGTGTTTGTGTTTGACATCTGTATACTGTACTTTTTAGCATATCTCAAGTGTTTTAGTCTCTGCCTAATAGATCTCATTAAAGAAACAGATATCAGCCCCAAGACAGTTTGTCAAAGTTAGTATGAGTCCCTGTGGACAGAATTGACAATTTGTGTGTGGCTTCACATGACGGTCTTTTCATGGTCTTGTTTGATCCTTTAACAATTGGGCATCAGTCACTGATTTATTTTACAATAACTCAATAGGATTGAATATTACTATATTACAGCAGACATTCTAGAGGATTTTCTTGTTTTACACGTTTTCCTCAGAGCACACAGTAAATGATGTACTTGGTCTGCTGTGGGAGCGCTAACAATTGATTGGTTTGCTTTAAGAGCAGCATGGGAAGGATGTTAGTATCCCATCGCTGCATGCCATATTTAACTTGAGCCTTAATGAGCACTGGCTGTCCTAGATGCTTAAGTAATCCTAAATGCTTAGCATTCGATACCCGTGGTTTAGTTTTGCAAGAGGTAAATGCTAACAGTAACATTTTTTTTTTAAAAACACCTCCTTTTTAAAACTGGCTAGTTATTCAAATTAGAACTTTTTAACTTCTCAGATTTTTTTTTTTTTTTTTTTTTAAGGAGTACCCATACTTAAGTAATGTATACCAGTGTGGCTATAAAGTGCATCACGTGTATTGGTACATTGTGTTGTTTTCCATGAAAGTCTACTTTATTTTTTAATCATTATACAGACTGTTAAGTATTGTTCGTCCATCGATTGTATCACAGCATAAGCACTTCCTTCCAAACAGGAGCTTAACTGTGAACCTGAAATGACAGGCAAGCTTATTTAGCCTTTCAGTTTGTGTGCTGTATTTGGTCTGTCCTTCAGGCTCCTGGATATTGATGCTGACTGTAGTCATTTTTTGTTCAGCCCTTTTATTTGTGATTTGGCAAATAAAAAAAGAAGTAAAATGGCCTAATGTGGAAAAAAAATAAAAGAAAATGGTCTACTTTTGAAACTGTATAAATTACAAGTGTAAAATAATTTTAAACTTGGAAAAGAGAAGTAAATTCAGGATGGCTCCCAACCATTCCACGAAAAGGCAGAGTGTGTTTTAGTTTTGTTTTTTTCAGAAAAAATCAGATTTATATATCTGTTAATCTGAGGAGATTGCAGAGCGATATTCCTTTAGTTAGTCATGTCCAAATGCTTTGTGAGGGTAATATGACCTATTACAAATCTAGCTTTTGAAGAAAAGGAAAATATGAACAACCTCTGCATGTACTCTGTGTGTGTGTGTGTATATATATATATATACACACAAGTTCTTAATGCTGTTTTTCCTGATAGTAACTAGTTATAATGGTAATAGTAAGTATATTCTGGGGTTAAACTTTTTTTAGCAGGATAGCAAGAAAATTAATTCCTATCATTGTCATTTGCTGAGTCCTGTAGAATTTTATGGCTGCATATTGTAGTGTTATGGACACTCATGAGACTACTGACTGGTTTTATCTTATTAAACAATTTTGAAATCATTAATTTTTAATTGGCCCGCTTGTGGTTTTTTATAGTTTTAATTGTGTGTCTGTGTCTAAATGTTGGGTTTTTTTTAAATTTTTTTAAAAAAAGAAAAAAGTAAGAAAAAAAATCCTGTCTAAGCATATATGTTATAAGGTATTTCCATACTATCATCCAAAGAGATACTATACTGTGTGGTAATTCATTTTAAAGAATGCTTTCAGCAGTTCAGTAGCTGGGAATCCTAATAAAAATAATAATAAAAAGAAGAATGTTATGATGTCGAAGATATGTACAGGTCTTTTCTTGATTGAAAGTTCTAATTAAGTGAATCGAGGAAAATTAACTGAAATTAGCTGTCAGAAAGTCACATTTAAATGAGTGATGATCTGGTGTGGCAGTAAACATTTAAATGATATAAATTGCCATTTAAGTGTATGGTTTAATGTTTGTCATGCATTAATATGACATGAGACTGCAGTGACAATCAAGCAGCTTGCTCTAATTTGAACATATTTAGGGCTTTTGTGTGGAGTGCACCACACAAATTAAGACAATTGCTGGTTTTATGTGTCAATTTAAATGTTGTTCTCAGGCATCGGTTAATGAAACAAACCCATCATTTTTGTGTGCAAATTGCAGAGTGATTTCCTTGGTTTTCAGATTAATTTTAACTTCCTCTGCTCAAAATTAGGAATTTCCTTTACAAGGAAAATGCCATTCGTTTCGTTAGATGGAAAGAATATCAGACTTTGTTACGTTGTTTCATTTGCTCATTCAAATAAGAAATATATTGAACCCTCTGTGTAAAACAGAGAAAACTAATCCTGCTAGTGATTTAATCTAGATGAATTAACTCTTTAGGTGACAATGATTTTTAAGTCATCTTTTAATATATATGTGCTGTATCTAATACCATTATGGAGACATTCATGATTGTTTGGATGCTTTTGGCTTGGGGATTGGGTTGTAACTGGATAACATCTTCAGAAAGGTGGCTTAATCATTCAGCATAATACTGTTTCTGTATATGCTTGTATAAGAGTTATATACAAGAAATACATAAAAGTAATAGCAAGTTGATATTCCAGCATTTTAAATAATTTGTATCCTAGCATCCCTAGTTAGTTCAGTTTCCCCAAGTCTATCAATCTTCTCTCTGTCTGTCAGAATCAGATTATCGTGCTGTTATTATTCACTGTGCACATCACACAGAAAAGCACAATTTCGTCTCGAGAGTTCATAAAAACATAGCCTGGCTGTCCATAAATGCATAAATGCTATCCCCTTAATGCCTTTTTTTTTTTTTTATTCCTACTATTACAGTTTTAAAAAGCAAGGTCTTCTGGTCAGCGGGAAGTAGAGTAGGGCATGAGACTCTGACATCTATCACAGGGCCCACCTTTTTGTTTTGTTTTGTTTTTGATAGAATGTCTAAAATCCTGTTATTAATTTTGTACTTAGACATGTTAAGATAATTTTGCACACTATTCAAAAAATGCTTGTACTACTATGAAAGGATGACTATCTGGCAAACTCAAGTTTATATATTTTGTATGTGTTTTTTTTACAGGCATTAGAAAGTGAGTTTGTTTCCTGCCAGCTTCACCAGTGGATTGATCTGATTTTTGGCTACAAGCAGCAAGGGCCGGAGGCTGTTAGGTCCCTGAATGTATTCTACTATTTGACTTATGAAGGAGCTGTTAATTTAAGTTCAATAACGGATCCCGTATTGAGAGAGGTAAGTTTGTACTTTAAATATAGGAAAGGAAAATCTTTGTTAACCACTGCAGTGTTGAAAGTGTAAAGATTCTGTGTTGTTCAAGGCTACTGGTGAATGTTCAAATCTTTGTGGTCTCTTGTGGTTTGGCTACAGGCCAGTCAAATGCAAGGTGCCTGAACCAGTCGTCACAGCATGCAAAATTAAGATAACAAGCATGCAAGTTGTTCTCTAAACTTTGTGCACCTGGATTCGGCACAAACTGGATGCCAATATAAAAATAAATGTTCAAGGATTGCTTCAGTTGCTGAGGGCAGTCATTTTCTTCACTAATACTGGATCTTAATGGCAGAAGACAGTGAGCAACCTTGATTTGGCTTGCACTTTTGTATTTACTTTTACAGGTTTAACAATTCTCTCTTAATGCAATCCTGCATATGCAGTACGCATCAAACACCATAGTTTTGTAGCTTCCATTATTTTTATTTGGCTTGCTATCAAATTAACAATAACTTGTCCTGTTTTTTCATATACAAAAGTAAATATTTAAACAATGGAAAGATCAGTAGTCTCACTCAGACTCAGCACCATTCAGAAAAATCTGTTTGCTAAAGTATCCCTTAGGATATTGTGGGCTTAAAGACTCCTCCCTCCTCCATCTAAACAGCTGTTTGTTTTTTTTTAAAAAAAAAAAAAAGGCAGGGTGTGGTGGATGATTAAAACAGAATTTTGATTGGGTTTACATCCTCTGTTCAGGCAATACATTGGTATCAAGTATAGCTGCAAGTATTTTAATTATGGAATAAATGTAACTGGTACTTTGTTATAAAATATTCTGAATCCCTGAGAGCAAAGTAATATGAATGCTATCAACAATTTTATTTAAAAGGATGGCTAGATGTACAGCAACAGGCAATATAAGTATGAACTGAATGAAGACAAGAATGAAGACATTTCTGCTTACAAATCTTAGGTTTGAGGTTCACTGTATAATTCTAGGCTAATCCTAATTGAAGTATTTGTTATTTATTGCATATGAAAGAGGGTCTGAGAAGTAAGCAATTATTATTTTAAATAATGCTATTTTCTCTGTACATACTGGCCATCTGACTGGGGCACCTTGACAGCCTCTGTAGAGAAAGTCACATCATAGCAACCCTGTGGGTTGTAGCTGGCTTGTGGGCGCAATGGAAAAGTTTGGGGGGTATGCAGGGCATGTAGGGGTATGCAAGGACTGGCTTAAGTACCAAGAGTGGTGGCTGGATGTCATTGTTATGTGGGTTGCCGTCAGACTGCATCTTGGTCCACTTTGAGCTAAAATACAGATGTTGCACGTAAATACATTTAATTGAGCTAAGAAAAGAGCTACTGGAACACTTGGCTTTTGAGAAAAAATGTCATCATCTGGGTTTGAAAAAGTTATTGACCCAAGGGTACTAGATGTTCACCCTGCCATGTTTTCATTTCCTTGATAATGTTTGTCCACTGTACACTGACAAGGAAATATTCTTACCTTGTAAAAGTATTTATTAGACTCTTGAAGTGCTAGGTTTAAGCGTGAGCTGAAAAATAGACTAGGCATTGTGTGTAATTTGTTCTTAATTTTAGTATTAAATGAACCATCATTGAACCATCATTAATGAAACTAGTAATTGAAGTAATACTAATCAAAATAGAGGTCTGCCACACACAATTTTTATGTAGCTTTTAATTTTTCTAGAACAGTTCTATTGTCAGTTTAACTGTGATCTGTGCTATTTGTGTCGTAGCCTGAAAAAAAGTAATTTAAGACCAGGGAAGTTACAAATCTGTCTGGAAGTATGGATCATCTCAGTTAGAGAGGCATTCACTTTGTACTTCTGTAAATACAGTAATATATTTTGTTACCATATCTTTTGAATTTTTCTTGTTATTATTGTACTTCACTACAATGTTTCTTATTTTTGAGTTGTTCTATGCTGCCTGAACTGAGTGGCATATAAAAATGAAAACAGGAGAGGGAGAATAGCAGTCTTGTTGAGTTCGTAATAATGGAGTAGCTTAGCAGCCGCAGAATTTCAAAACACTACTGATGATGTCAAAAATACATGCTGATGAATGCAGGCAGCAGAATGAATGGTATCTTGTAGCACTTTTGCTCTGAGTTACTTGAAGATTGGTCCAATGGAATATTTTTATTTAGTATCTTTAAGCAGGTCAGTAAAACAGTAGAAAGATTCCTCTTTAGTTAGGTATCCCTTGCTATTTACATGTATTTTGTAAAGCATATTTTTTTATTATGTAAATGTGTATATGTAGTTTGAAATGGTACATACGATCAGCTCTGATACGATATTGACAGTGCAGAGATTTAATGACTGTCATCACCAATGGTGAGTTATTCTGTTTTCACTTATGAGTAGAGATGAAAGTAATAAAAAATCTGTTTGTGTGTATATCTATGTGCATAATCATTCTATATCTATGTGCTAAATGAATTTATCATGCACCTTTGACAGCCTCACCTTCTTCCTGCTTAGTAATCCATCTCCCTGAGGACCTGTGCTAACGTTCTGTACTGCCGAGCAGCTTCAATCACATTTATTTTTCTCCTTCAGTCAGCTTGCTAGAAAGTATTTCTTCTTTTCTTCACCAAATTCCTGGTTAGAGGGCAAACGATTTTCTGATCTGGACAATTAATGCTATTTTTAGGCAGGCACGACACCTCAGATTTAGTATCTGTTTATTAGGCAACTATTAAACCGGAAATTTTACTCTGGATTTCTTGATTTCAAAAAGAATGCTTTTGGCTTTCTCCTCTTGATAAGGTTTAGGGTTTGGGTCGTTAAATCTTGACCGTTGTAGCAGAAAATACATTTTTATGTGCAAACCTGAAACAAGGAAAAGCTTCTATATACTCTGAGAGTTGTGAGTTACTGAGGCTTTTAGGTATCATATGGAAATAATAGCATGTGCTTAAACCATGGTAATTTCTCCACATAGTCTATGCTAAGCATGGACCACATCGGTAATGAGAAGCCTATGATGCATGTGTTTCTGAAGTATCTTCACAGATACATGTATGGATATTGGTGACCTAACTCATCAGGAGAGGCCACACACAGAATAATAGGGGAAGGAACTGAGGAGTGGAGGAGTTCAGGTTAATGCAGAATTTCCTTAGGTCTCCTAAATGGCTCCAACTGGCACCTTTATTTTTATAGGCAGTCAGGTTATATATATTACGAGAAGGAAGCACTCGTCTAGGAAGGAAAACTACTTGATTAAAACCATATTCCTCCTTTCTTTTTTTTAAACTGAAAATGTAGAACTTTTACATCCTCTCATACTGCTGTGAACAATTTTTTCCTGCCATTCTTTCTGCCTATGGGAATAAAGGAAGTAAAGTATTTTGAAAGGATCTGACTGCTATAATAGAAAATTTTAAACTAAAATGCAAACCATGGGCCACATGCTACCTTTTGGCAGATAAACCCTGGAGAGTGCAAAGCTTGCATAATTCAAAGGCAAATCTCAGGGGGAGGGGAGTAGATCAAGAGAGAAGGGTTTGAGTTGCAGCCAGTGGGGGAAGGGAGCTGCAACCAGGAGAAGCAAGGCAAGAGATCCAGTATATCTGAAGGCGTATCTGTGCACTACTTGTCCCTGCAGAGACCATTCCTTCATCCTCCTCTTTTTTCCTTGAGCCATTTTCGCAGCGTTGTCATTGACTCTGATCCTTGTACTTGTGTATCTTACTGAAGGAGGTTACAACTGCTCAGGGAAGTTGCTGTTCAGTTGACAAGCAGTAAATATCACATCTATTTCTGGTGGAAAATAGAGTATTTGCCAGCAGAGGTATGCTATGTGACTACCTTCTGTTGACTCGTTCTTGAACACCACGTTTTGATCTGTGGAACTCCCAATCACAAGATCTGCCATGGAAGGGCTTTTTTGTTGTCTGTATGAAAGAGGCAAGGAGTCACGGTAGCACAGATAAATGTCATCCAACTGTTCTGGAGAGAATTCACAGCACCTTCTTATCACAAATTCTGCTCTCTTTTTGCAATAGCTGCCCAAGAATGCAAAAAAAAAAAAAAAAAGTAGAATTAGATCTAAGCCATTCAGACAAGCAACTGATTAAATGGTGAAGCACAATCCATAGAAAATAGTTTGTATTTTGGACTGATTCGTGGGTATTCCATTAGTGTTTTGGTCAGAAGAATAGAAATTTCTCTTGTCTCTGGTGTAGTGTAACAAAGGATGATCGTGAATCTGGGCTGCACTCAGAGTTCCTAATTAAAAGTCCATTTCTCCACTGATACCCCTATGTAGCTAGCATAAACACGGGATAAGTGGAAAGAAAAGAGATGAAGCTAATAGCAGGAATGCAAAGTACTACTTGGAGAATACGTCATTGATTTACTATAGGAACCCCTGAACTTCAGGAAGCATACTAAATTTTGTACCATGCTTATCAAAAAGCACCTAACCGTATTCTTTAAATAATTTTAAAAATATAATCTGTTATTACCTTTGTAGGCAGCAGTTAAGGAAGACTGATGATTTTAAAATTAGCAATAATAGTTTGAAAAAGATGAGAATAAGTCCCATCCAATTAATATCCCACATACCTTCATTAAGTGATTTGCTTTTAGCCTTAGATGATTCAGTTGTTGTATACTTCTTCCTTTGAAGAGAAGGTGCCTTTTTGTTACATGAAGGTAGTCTGTTTAACATTAGGAAGCACAGCTTTCTCCATTCTATCGGCACCTTGATTTCTACTGTTGATATTTTATTTCCATATGAACCGAGGAGTTGCAAAAATTGTGAAGAATCAGCTTGGACGTAGCATTTGGTATGTTATTTGAATGTGCCACTTCTGATTATATAAAGAGAGGAAATAATTCTTTTATTTTCAGTTTTAAGGCATATGGGATAAATTATTCTATGGATAATAGCTTTTAAATGTTGCCTGAGATTAATATCTTTGGGTAAGTTTTATGCATCTTAGACCTATCTCTTATGAGTCTAATTTTATTTTT